GCATCCCGCTGGGATGTTCAAGGTCAGCCAAGCTGGATTCAGGCCGGTGCTGGCAGCTTGGGCAGTCTTCAGCACAGCTCCTCGGGCCTGGGGAAGAAGAGCCAGGCAGTGCCTGCAAGTTTCTCTGAGAAGTACCTGGAGAAGAGGGGTGGTGACTTATTTAAAACGCAGATTCACTCTTCCTGGGTGAAATCTGGGAATCTGCATTGCTATTAGGCAGTCCAGGTAATTTGGCTACAAGTGGTTGCAGCATTCCATTTGAAAAAACAGCAGTCTGAATGGACTGATTGGCGTTTGAGGTGGTGGTCAGGATCAGGGAGTGGTCTGGTGCCTGGATTTGGAAGCCTCACTCTTGCATTTGCTCACCCATGTGACCTTGGGCAAAGCCGGCACAACAATGTTTCTCTACCATGTAAAAGACAGTCTTTCTCAAACTGCAGGGCACAGTCATCCCTGGATTTTGAAGTCAATTTAGTTACAAGTTGCATCAAAAACTGGGAGTTTGGCTGGCTGCACAGTAATGTGAATGTACTTAACACTACTGAACTGTGCAGTTTTAGAGGGTTAAAGTGGTACATTTTGTGGTATGTATATTTTACCAAAATTTTTTTAAAAGTCCAGAATGCACCACAAAAGGTAAGTCACTTTTCTATACTTAAGTAGACACTATCAATTTTCAAATTAAATGGATCCCTGAAAAAATGGTGTCAAAGGAAAATCAGTCTTGGAATCTTATATTCCCATCGACTTAAATTTTAAAATATATAAAAATAGGGTTTAGAGTTTTAAAATGTGGAAATTGAACAGTATTACAATGAACAAAGATCGAACCATCATGTCTTGAATGGGAAAAAGTGTTCTCACCATAAATATAATGCACAAAAAAAGTTTTGTTCTAAATGGGAAAACATGAAATTGTTTTTTAAAGATTTTAAGGGTGATGATTATGAAACTGGTTTCAGTACTCTGCTGACCTACTCCAGGGCAGACTGATCCCTAGGTGGGTGGGCTGGAATTGGTGTCCCGAGCCCTGGAAGTATTTACAAAGGATTCAGAAATAACCATGGTGTTTGGTGATCTGCTAGACTTTTCAGGGGTTCCTTTTACACAAATGGCAGTGAACGTGGGAATGTGCCCTCAGCCACTCCTGAGGAGAAACTGTTTCTTTCACACAAATGGTCATGAACTTCAGTCCTACTCTACTTGAAAAATAATGAAATATTTCCTCAGGAAACCTTTCTCTGAACTCTTTTTTTGATGGGGGAAGCATACCATGAGGCATGCAGAACTTTCCCTGTCCAGGAATTTTTTTTTCCATTTATTTTTATTAGTTGGAGGCTAATTACTTTACAACATTGCAGTGGTTTTTGCCATACATTGACATGAATCAGCCATGGATTTACATGTATTCCCCATCCTGATCCCCCCTCCCACCTCCCTCTCCACCCGATCCCTCTGGGTCTTCCCAGTGCACCAGGCCCGAGCACTTGTCTCATGCATCCAACCTGGGCTGGTGATCTGTTTCACCCTTGATAGTATACATGTTTTGATGCTGTTCTCTCCAAACATCCCACCCTCGCCTTCTCCCACAGAGTCCAAAAGTCTGTTCTGTACATCTGTGTCTCTTTTTCTGTTTTGCATATAGGGTTATCATTACCATCTTTCTAAATTCCATATATATGCGTTAGTATACTGTATTGGTCTTTATCTTTCTGGCTTACTTCACTCTGTATAACGGCCTCCAGTTTCATCCATCTCATTAGAACTGATTCAAATGAATTCTTTTTAATGGCTGAGTAATATTCCATGGTGTATATGTACCACAGCTTCCTTATCCATTCGTCTGCTGATGGGCATCTAGGTTGCTTCCATGCCCTGGCTATTATAAACAGTGCTGAAATGAACATTGGAGTACATGTGTCTCTTTCAGATCTGGTTTCCTTGGTGTGGATGCCCAGGAGTGGGATTGCTGGGTCATATGGCAGCTGAATCCGCTTTTGAATCCCCCTTTTTGTGACTATCCCAGTGATTCTCTCCCTGTCCTTCCCAGCATGTACCATAAATAACTGCCTCTGTCTCCTTTGCAGTTGCTCTGCAGTATGAGTCCTGCTCTGCTTTATTGCTCACATTTCCCAGTGACAAGCACAGTTCTTGTCCCAAAAATATTTGCTGAATCGATAAGTGAATGAAATTGACCCAAAATTTCAAAAATGAGAACTACAGCTGCCTGTGTCATTATTACTGAACTGTAATAGTTCTTCTATGTGGCTTATATCACTTGTCTCTAATTATTACTATAGCTAGTAACCCCTGCAGGAAAAGAGTTGTATCCTTTTTCAGAGGGTAAAATTGGGGCTTAGGACAGTGAAGTGATTTGCCCAAGAGCAAAACAGGTAGTAAGTGATAGAGGAAAGGGTCAAACCCAGGGATGTTGGGCTGTATCACCAGTTGCATTTCTGCTTTTTCTTGGTTCTTCTGCATCTGCCTGAGCCCAAGCAGCTCTGCTCTTTGCCTCCCGTCTGTGGGCATTTTCACTAAAAAAGTCTTACCACATGGCAGAATGAGCCCAGCTGGCATGACCCTCACCTGGCTCCATCACCCAGCCGCCCTCAGGCTTTCTTCTCCAGACCAACCCAAACATGGTTGGGGAACTCAGAGGGGAGGACCTAGCATTCCCCAGTCTGGACAAGTATCTAATCAGCAGGCCTCCTTAGCATATCAATCCAAGACCACTCCAGAGATGGATGCCTGTGCCCAGTTTTCTATTTTTAACTGGTGTGAACGGGAGGAAAAACACAAGCATTAAAAATCAAAGTGCCGGTCAAGAACTGAGAATACAGGGCAGGCCAGGGCAAACCAGGGATCTGTGTCCTTCTTCTGTCTCTCTGTTCCTTCCTCCCCTCCTTGCTTCATGTCATCCCTTTCTCCAAAATCCCAAGATCCTCCACAAAGGAGCTGATTATTTATACCTGGGCTTTTTACACGTCGACATACATATGAATCAACTAAGCATCTTGCTAGAAAGCAGCTTCTGCTTCAGTAGCTTTGAGGTGGGGACTGAGACTCTGCTTTTCTAATTCATGCCTGGTTATGATGATATCTCTGTGGTATGTTCATAGGGTTGGAGTTGCTGTTATCTTCTTGACAAGAATAGTTCTCTTTCAGTCTTATCTTCACCTGGAGTAAAGGCTTTGGCCCTCAGTTTATGGACGTTCCTCTGTGTGCGTGTGTTAGGCACTTAGTGGTGTCCGACTCTTTGGGACCCCATGGACTGTTGCCCGCTAGGCTCCTCTGTCCATGGACTTCTCCCAGCAATAATACTGGAGTGGGTTGCCATTCCCTTCTCCAGGGGATCTTCCCAACCCAGGGGTTGAACCCAGGTCTCCTGTATTGCAGGCCGACTCTTTACCATCTGAGCCAGCAGGAAAACCCTCATCCACCAGCTAATGGACAAGCAGCCTTTGGTATTTGTTCCTTCATTCACTTTGATGAAAAGAAGTCCTTTTCTGGCCTAAAGTCTGAGTTTGAGCAAAACCCTGGAGACATGGAGGAGAGCCACCTTTTGTCTGGGCCGGGGTACACCTGCTCTGTCCCCCAGCAAGACTGGGCAAGCTCTGAATGGCCTCTTCCCTAACCAGACCCTGGAACCAAGCAGAAATCCCGGACCAAGGTGGCCTTGGTTAATCTCGGCTTTCTGCCACAGAAGAGTGCAGATCTCTGAGCTGTCATGCAGGTTGGTGGGGACTAGCCCAGGAGGGTGTTCTGCACCCCGCGCCCCTTCTCTGGCCCCCAGTTGTGCTGCTGGGGTGCAGTTAGGGTGCACGAGGATTCCCAGGGCTCCGCTCCTCCAGCTCCCAGAGCGGGAGGATGAGAAGTTACCGTCACTCCCCCGCTGCCCTGGCCCAGCTGTCAGGACCCCTCAGCAGAGGGCAGGGCGCCAAGCCTTCCCACTCGTGTGTGGCTGACTGTCTCTTAGGCTGGCGGGGCTGCGGAGGAACCAGCCCGGGCACACCCAGGGAGCACCCCCACCCAGGAAGGGGGAGGGGGTGGCTGGCGTCACTCAGTCTTCCCCTGCCCCCTACCCTTCCCGGTCTGCGCCTCCCTAGCTCCCTATTTGGCCATCCCCCTGGTTGCCCCCTCCCCTTCCTTACATGGTCTGGGGGCCCCCTGGCCGATACTCTCCCCTGCCCTTGGCTCCATGAATGGCCTCGGCGCTCCTCAGTGGTGCGAAGGCGACCAAATAAGGCAAGGTGGCCGACCGGGCCCCCCACCCCTGCCCCCGATCGCTCCAACTGACCCCGTCCATCAGCGCGCTATAAAGCCGCGCGCCGCGCGCGGGGCACCAGCGCCTGCCGCCGCCTGAGCGACCGAGCCGAGCCCGCCCCGCGGACAGTGAGTCGGCGCCGCCCGCCTCCGCGCCTCCCTCCGCCCCGCGCCCGGAGCGGGTGCCCCGCGCTCCCGCCGCTCCATCACTTTTCCTCTTTTTTCCTTAAGACCAAACTTTCCCTTTGGTTCTCTAACTTCTTTTGCCCAGGGTCTCCATCTTCACAGGAGAGGGGCTCGCAGAGGGGAGCCTTGCGCCCCATAGGGGGTCCCTGTGGTCTTGTCCTTTTCTCTCCCCCGGGGCTGGGGCATGGATGGGAGTGGATGAAGCCGTATGGGGTCCCAGTTTGTGAAAGGGCGCAAGTGTGGAGACCTGGGGAGGACCTTCTAAGGGATGACTGTCCCTTTTGCCCTGGGGCAGAGGGTGAGCCTGCTGGCCGCGGAGCCTGCACGGCCCCCTCCCCGCCCCCCTGCTCCGCAGCTGCTTCTCACTTTTTCTGCCCCAGGGAAGGGAGAAGGGCGGGGGGAAGGGCGCCCCCCGCCCCCGACTCCCGTCCGCGGACCCCCCTCTGCCTTGTCCCCTCCTCCGGGGGAGCGGACCAGGCCAGCTCCGCAGGCGCTGAACTTGGGCCGCCTTGCTCTGCTCCCCCCGCAGACCCCGCTGAAGCTGTGCCAAGATGTGCGACGACGAGGAGACCACCGCCCTGGTGTGCGACAACGGTTCCGGGCTGGTGAAGGCCGGCTTCGCGGGCGACGACGCGCCCCGCGCGGTCTTCCCGTCCATCGTGGGCCGCCCGCGCCACCAGGTAAGCTTCAGCCCGCTGCGCAGTCCCAGCCCCATCGCACACCCCTCCCTCTCCTGCCACCTCTGCAGCCCAGCAACCGAGGAGATGTCTCACTTGACCCTCCTGTCTCGTGAACTCTTTAGGTCAGATAGGAAGAGATGAATTAGCTTCAAATCCGAGCTGACAAGTAACAACTTACACCCGCCAACATACCAGGAAAGGTGCATTCCACTCTCCCACCCCAGTCCACTTCAGGGACACTGCTCGCCAAGGGTCCAGCTCGCTGGTGTGAAAAGCCAGCAGCATCTCTCTTTCAGTCTTCTCTTCCTCCTATACATTTCGCCTTACTCCTTGGCCTTTTTTTTCAGTCTGGTTCAGAATTCATAATACTACAACTTCTCCCAGCCAACCAGGGGCCAAGCCACATTGCTCCCTCTTATTCACAGCCAGTTTATAGGGCTCCCCAAAGATGTGATCTATCTGCTTCCTGGCTATTGCATTTTTAGAAGCCAGGCGTGACAGAGGCAGTAAGTGCATAGTGATAGTGACATACCACCTTGTTTATTAGAAGAGACACCACGCTCTCTGGCTGTGCCACAATGCCTGGCCAGACAGACTGCCAGGGAGGAGAGCGGTATTCCTCAGTGTGGGTGACTGTGGGTACTCGGACACTCTGGGCAGGCTGGATTTCACAGACACAGTGATAATGGCATATCTGTCCTTTTTATGTTCACTTGATGAATGTGAAAATCTTTTCTGAGGAGACATGCAATGTGTCATTAATGCAGTCATTCCACAGTGTAGTCATTTATATTCCAGTTGACATAGGTGATAAGCTTAATAATTTCATGAAGATATTATAACAATTTAAAAATGAGATGACTCTCTGCTTCTTCAGTGAAATAGCTTCATTCCTCTTCACCCCCAGTTATATTCTAAACAATAGAATTATGCCTCCTGAGGGTGGGGTAGGGAAAAGGTACAGGACTGATTTTAAATGATATTTCTGAATTGGGGTAAACTATTGTTTATTATTTCTGGTATTCATAAGATGCCCCTTGATTTGGGCAGTTAGACAAATTAATTAGGTATTGAATATATTCCTAACATGGAGGAAGCTTGATTTTCTAATCTCTTTCTTCTTGCAGGGAGTGATGGTGGGTATGGGTCAGAAGGATTCCTATGTAGGTGATGAAGCTCAGAGCAAGCGAGGTATCCTGACTCTTAAGTACCCCATTGAACACGGCATCATCACCAATTGGGATGACATGGAGAAGATCTGGCACCATACCTTCTACAATGAGCTCCGTGTAGCCCCAGAGGAGCACCCCACTCTGCTCACCGAGGCCCCACTGAACCCCAAGGCCAACCGTGAGAAGATGACTCAGATCATGTTTGAGACCTTCAATGTCCCCGCCATGTATGTGGCCATCCAGGCGGTGCTCTCCCTGTATGCTTCTGGCCGTACCACAGGTGTGTTTGGATTGTAAGGTGTGCGATTGTGAGATAGTCTCTGGTTAATTACACTCCCAAGTCACTGACCTTGCTGTGAATCAGTTTCCCCAATGAAAAAAGAATGACCTCTTTCCCCACACTCCCTGGGAAGGTGTCTGTGCCGAGAGAGAGAGGTAACAAGAGTACCCTGAGCACACTTATTTCTAAGAGCGGAGAGAATATGGAGTTAGAGCCTTTCCTTGCCTAAAATATGTGATGTCAGATATTGAGGCTCTGCACAAACTAATAGCCTGGAATGTAGCAGTTGTTGGTATGTGTTCACATTATCCCAGCCCCTGGGCAAACATCTCCAGTAGAGACGAACCCAGAGAGAACCTACATTCCCTACAAAGTCTGAGTCAAAAAAGAGAGAAACGTGTTAGTTAGATGTGAGGGGGGAAAAAAAAACACAAAAAAACACACCTGGATGCTTGCATAATGTGCACATGACTGGTAAGAGGGATGGTCATTTGAAAGTCTCCTGGGGAAATTCTTCTACCACAATATTTAAAAGGGTGAGCTGTCGCTGGCTTTAGTCTTAGCATGCATTGTACTCATTTTATCTGGGTCTTTGCCCATTGCTAGTGTCTCTTAGCCAAGAGTGGAAGTAGGCTTTGACATGGCGAAAGCAGTGGTGTCCTCAGAGATTTACCTTCTTTTTGGCTATTTCCTCTGACAGGCATTGTTCTGGACTCTGGGGATGGTGTGACCCACAACGTCCCCATCTATGAGGGCTATGCTTTGCCCCACGCCATCATGCGTCTGGATCTAGCTGGCCGGGATCTCACGGATTACCTCATGAAGATCCTCACTGAGCGCGGCTACTCCTTTGTCACCACCGGTGAGTCTGTGTGGGTTTCATCTGCCACAGGAGGTGTCTGGTTTTCTCCACCAGTGAACCCGCCTACCTCTCCAAAGCTGATGTCATCCTTCAGAGCTTACCTGTGACCCCCTTTATTTCTGCAGCTGAACGTGAGATTGTTCGTGACATTAAAGAGAAGCTGTGCTATGTCGCTCTGGATTTTGAGAATGAAATGGCTACAGCTGCTTCTTCCTCCTCCCTGGAGAAGAGCTATGAACTGCCTGATGGCCAAGTCATCACTATTGGCAACGAGCGCTTCCGCTGCCCTGAGACGCTTTTCCAGCCCTCCTTCATTGGTGAGTGGTATGGTCTGGTGCAGACACACAGCTTGGGGCTTCCAGAGAAAAATCTATTATTAACCAACAATGATTAAGGGGCCCTTGTGTTGAAAGTAGTCGTAGCTTGGAGACCCACACAGTTCAGCCTCAAGTCCCGATGGTTTTTGCAGGGATGGCCATTCCTCTCCTGCAGCAATGATATGATAAAGGATGACACACCAGCTTCATCTTGAAACAAGGAATGAGATAGCATAGTAACTGAATAATCCATATCTGCAAGGAAGAGACGATGACTCAAGAGTGCTGACTTATTCTGGTAGATTCCATCACCAAGTAGCTAGACCTTACTTCCAAGTCACTCATTATTAAGTGTGACAACAATCCTACTTATAGTAATAACTGGACACTCACATCTTTCCTAAGCTGGGATTTCCAAGCGGAAGCTTGTCAGTATATTATTTTAGTCCATAAATAAGATGGCATTCATTTCACATGAATGTGTGTCTCATGCTTTTCTATTACATCTCCATAGGTCTGATGGGTACAGCGAGTGTTCCCTCTGAACAGGTGCTAAAAGCAGTTGTTTGTGCCTTGGCAGTCTGTTGTAGATTACTCTCAGCACTTTTAAGACACCTGTTCCACAAAACTCTGCAGTGTATCTTATAGAGGAACATATGTTTCAGAGACAAATGGTGACAGTTTACCAACACAGAGGAGTCTTGTTAGCCTCCGTCCACCCTGGCCCCATGGCCTGAATGCACTGTGACTTTTTAAAACTTGTTCATAGGTATGGAATCTGCTGGCATCCATGAAACAACTTACAACAGCATCATGAAATGTGACATTGATATTCGCAAGGATCTGTATGCCAACAATGTCTTATCTGGAGGTACCACCATGTACCCTGGTATTGCTGATCGCATGCAAAAGGAAATCACTGCTCTGGCTCCCAGCACTATGAAAATCAAGGTAAAGAACTTCTGTGGTGGGGTGGGGGTAAACCAAGGCAGGTCTCCATAGACCAAGCAGAATTCCTAACTCCTTTCCCCTCACACAAATAGCTTCCTGTCTCACAGAAACCTTTTGCTTTTATAGCACCTTTTCTGATTTTTCTGGCACTTTTCCCAAGATAGGAGATTTTAAAACACTTTAAAGCAGTGGATAAAAATAAATCTTTGAGGAAAAAAATCTAAACCTTTGAACACATTTTAAAAGACCCCAACTTTCAGGCTAGGCTTCGCCATGCCTATAGCTTATTGTCACATTATTCTCTGGTTCGAAGAAGTAGGGAACTTCTATTTTATACAGTCTTTAATCATGGAAATGATGAAATAGAGAAAATGCATTCAAAATGCATTCATCTTGAGTCAACCATATTCATTTGTAGGATTACTGGGATTGTTCATTTGTATCACATTACAGTGACTTGATCACCAGTGTATTTTCTGAATCTCCCCACCATGTTGCTTACTCTGTTGTTTGGAACCTCAGAGTTCACTAGCAGCTTTTGCTTTCCTTCTGCAGATTATTGCTCCCCCTGAGCGTAAGTACTCTGTCTGGATTGGGGGCTCCATCCTGGCCTCCCTGTCCACCTTCCAGCAGATGTGGATCAGCAAGCAAGAATATGATGAGGCAGGCCCCTCCATCGTCCACCGCAAGTGCTTCTAAGGTGCCTTCTCTCTTAGTCTACATTACATTCAGGATGATGGTATGATGCTTTTTGGAGTCTTCCGAACCACCCTCCCTCATCTCTCATCAATCATTGTACAGTTTGTTTACACACGTGCAATTTATTTGTGCTTCTAATATTTATTGCTTTATAAATAAACCAGACCAGGACTTGCAAACTACAAAAGCAAGCATTTCTTATTTCTGTTTGGGGTTTGGGGAAGGAGTGGGATGGGACCAATGTTTGCCTACTCAGTCTGTGAGCTCATATACTGATGGCCTTGATACCATGAGCTTTGTAATATCACAGCACCACATCAGTTCATCCGTGTGACTTTTAGCTGGGAGTTTCAATATTAAATTTTGATTTTACCCTTTGGGAAAGAATCATGAAGATAATTTATACCTGAAAAGCAGATTAGGTTTTCAGTTCAGTTCAGTTGCTCAGTCATGTCTGACTCTTTGCAACCCCATGGACTGCAGCATGCCAGGCTTCCCTGTCCATCACCAACTCCCAGAGCTTGCTCAAACTCATGTCCATTGAGTTGGTGATGCCATCCAACCATCTCATCCTCTGTCAGTTCATCAGTGTGATTAGATTTAGGTCCACATAAGTGAGAAATGGATTGGAGAATACAGTCTGTGAAGATTAGTTTCTATGATAACACTGAAAATTGTGGTTTTAGCACATGTTCCAGTTATTTTTGTGACTTTGCCAAAGCCACATAGATATTGGTAACGAGAAAGTCAAAGGTTATTTTAAATAGGTTAGTATAAATGCTCAATTCACAGCCTCTTCAGTTGTCTTCCTGAGGGCCATGCATGTTAACAGTGAAACAGTGAGGTCAGCTGACAGAAAAACCCAGCCATACCCCATTCCAAATACTCCCTAAGCAAATCAAGGCCACTGTGAATGTTCAAAACGAGTGTGAGGATGGGGAATTCTCTGGAGGTCCAGCAGTTAGGACTCTGAGCTTTTACTGCTGTGGGTGCAGGTTCAGTCCCTGGAACTAAGATCACACAAGCCACATGGTGTGGGCAAAAAGAAACACAGAAAGAAATGTTAGGAAACAGGCAGCAGACACCTCTGCCTAACCAGTGACTAACCTGGGGGATGGACATCCTCAGGCTCTTCAGGTCTTTGAAATCTTGGGATCTTGGGTTGAGTAGAGGGAAGGTTCTAAAGTCCTGAGGGGCTAAGGGGGGCAGAAAGGCACAATATTCCCTTCACTCTGTGCTGTACTCCTTGCAAAAGATGTTGGGGATAGCACCTCTGTCATACTCTGTCCTGGAGGGGTTCACATACACACGACTCAGAAACTCCCAGTGTATGTGGTTTGGGAGGCTTCAGGAAATGGACATATGTGTATGGGTCTTGAAGGGTGGGTGGTTAAGAATTGAAGAGGTGGGATGAGGAGGGAGAAAGCTTCAGCAGGAGACAGGGCAGAAGCCATCATACAAAGCATGAGGCAGGCTGGTGGGAACTGATGAATTTTAGGCCATCAGTTTGGAAAGGTAGATTTCAACCTGATTGCAGAGCTTTAAAAATTTTAACTTTCAACTTAATTATTGATGAACTGTTAGACCATTTGTATATGTGTGTGTATTTCCACTCAGTCGTGTCTGACTCTTTGCAACCCATGGGCTGTAGCCCACCAGGCTCCTCTGTCCGTGGAATTTTCCAGGCAAGAATACTGGATTGGGTTGCCATGCCCTTCTCCAAGGGATCTTCCCAACCCAGGAATCAAACCCAAGTGTCTTACGTCTCCTGCATTTGCAGGCGGATTCTTTACCACTAGTGCTACCTGGGAAGCCATGTAAGACCAATTGAATGAAGTTAATTAAACTTTTACCTATTGATGAGAGAATTAAAGCATAGATTAAGCAATGGGCACAATGTTTTATGGGCTTCTAGGTGGTAGTAAAGAACCCATTTATGTCTCCTTCCCATTCAGGAGACATAAGAAACACAGGTTTGATGCCTGGGTTGGAAAGATCCCCCAGAGTCGGAGATGGCAGCTTACTCCAGTATCTTTGCCTGGAGAATCCCATGGTCAGAAAGACCCCCCCCCCCCCCCCCACAGTGGGAGATGGCAGCTTACTACAGTATCCTTGCCTGGAGAATCCCATGGATAGAGAAGCCTGGTGACCTACAGACCATAGGTTGCAAAGAGTCAGACAAAACTGAGTGCACATGCCCACCCCCCTCCCCAACACACACACAATATATAGCTTGTTTGTGGAATACCCAAGTCAGGAACCCAGATTTTTTGACATCTAATCTAAAGATTCTTCTACAACAATCTTTTCTAACTTAGTCATAGTTTATCAAAAGTAACCACATTCTATCACACACCCTTTAGAGAGTCTGGGTTCAAAATTCAGAGTATTTATAGCTCATCAGACAGTCTTAATAAGTTCCCCATGGCATTATCATTCCAGGTAGTAATTATGTCTTTATGTTCATTCATTCATAAAGACATCTCTTGACCCTTGATTCTGGGCCAGGAACAGTAGTAGGTGTGGGGGACACAAAGATGGAGGAGAACACATTGGCTGTGCTTAGAGCTCCATATTTAGCACAGCTAAATGGAAGTCTTTCTTTGCATTAAGGGTTAAAGAATAAATTAATTAGTGACATTTACATAAGATACAATTAACTTTCCTGTAGATTTTCTTTTCTTCCCCAAACTATTTCTTGTAGCACAGATAAATTGATTTAAAAGCTAAGTATCAGCCAGAGACAGGTTTGGAGCATGTATGGGGAGACGATTTAGCCAGTCTCTGTGTCTCTTTTTTCTCAGATTGAATACATTGTAAATTATGAATTTTATTCTCTAAATACAGTATTAATACTTTAGGTTTAGGCAACTGGCTTCTGTATCACCTGTGGTTCTTTCTATGTGTGAATGTAAGTGGAATGGGTATTGTTTCTGCTTAAAAGTGGAAGTTTTTGGAATCAGTTTCTGATATTTGTAGCAAAAGTGGAAAGTACACAGGTTCTTATTGAATTTTGAGGTTTCCACAAAATTGCTTGATAGGGTGTAAGATATTAGAAAACTGACTCTTCTAATAATCATGCTTAAGAAAGGTATTAGGCAATAGGATTTTTCTTAAGGCCACCCTCACGTGTATAAATTGAAATGTCTACAGTAAATAGATCTTGGTTAAGATGCAATGTAAAACAACCCATATTGGTCATGATATTTTTCTCAGTTTAAAATGAAAGAACTACTTTGATTTATTTCTAAGATCCTAAAACACTATGTCTTTATTTTCCTTAACAATGGTCACTTCTTAGCAATGGTTATTATGTAGATGTGTTTAAATCATTAGAGTATCAAGTTAGTAAAGGATAATAACTGAAGAAAATGGAATAGAGAGATAGGATCGGTTTACTATACACTGAACCTAATACAATGTCCGGAGAAGGCAATGGCATTCCACTCCAGTACTCTTGCTTGGAAAATCCCATGGACGGAGGAGCCTGGTGGGCTGCCGTCTATGGGGTCGCACAGAGTTGGACACGACTGAAGCGACTTGGCAGCAGCAGCAGCAATACAATGTCAGCCTAAAACTGGGTATCCACCTTTTTCACCACTTCTTCTATGGAATCTGTTATGGCCTGAATTATGTATGCCACTGCCACCCCACTCCAACCCCTGCCACAATTGCAATTCATATGCTGAAACCCTAACCTCCGCAATGTGACTGTGTCTGGAGACAGGACTTTTAAGGAGTCATTAAGGTTAAATGAGATATAAAGGTGGGCCCGAATCCAACAGGCCTGGTGTTCTTATAAAAGGATGCACTACCTGGAGTGTGCCCATTTGCAGGAAAGGGCAGGTGAGGACACAGCAAGAAGGTGACTGTCTGCAAGCCACAATGCAAAAAGAAAGAAGAACACAGGATCCCTACACCTTTGTTCTTTATCTCTAACCCCTGACTGCAAGCCCCAACTTGATTCTGCTAGATTCCCTATGGAGGGGAAACACAGTTCTTGAAGCCTGAGCCTACTGTGTTCTCTCCTCTACTGATTTGAGGATTAAAGCCATTTTTCTATTTCCTCCAAACTGTCTCCATATTTTCTTACTTGGCTCTGGTGGGCAGAGAAAGCCAAGATTTTGGTGGCAACAATCTCTCCAGACTCCACTGTGGCCTGGGGATCTAGAAACCCAACAATCTCTATAAGACCTGATTAGCCAGGTATTGAAAAGGAAATAAAAAGTCAGACTCATTTTATGATTAAAATTACATAAATACTATAAATATTTCCTAGGAACTAATAGGTAGGGAAGAAATTTCAGGTCTTTTAGGCCTGAAATAGCCAAAGTTGTCTATATTCAACTTGAGCTCTTCCAGGCTCATTATAGAAGGAATCTCTCCTTCAGGCAGAGCTTGGCCATTGCTATGGCAACCAAGCTCATACTAGGAAGAAGGGGGAAAATGCAAAAGTCTGCCTCTGGTCACTGGTGAACTGATGCTAGAAGATAATTCCTGCAATTCACTCATCAGCTCTGCATGGAACAGATGTAATCAAGCTTCCTTTGAGGCTCAGTGGTAAAGAATCCCCTGCCATTGCAGGAGACAGGTTCAATCCCTGGGTTGGGAAGATCCCTTGGAGATGAAAATGGTAACCCTCTCCAGTATTCTTGCTGGGAAATCCCATGGACAGAGGAGCCTGAGGGGCTAGAGTCTACAGGGTTGCAAGAGTCAGACACGACTTACCAACTAAACAGCAACAACAAAGATTGACTGGTGGGATAAAGAGCTTCAGTCAAGCATTGCTCTCTTGAGTCCTCTGGTTCTGGGCCCTCTCTCCTGCCAGGGAAAGGGAGATGAGTCAGAAGAGATGTAAGCAGGGGTGGTCTGCAGTTCCTCCACGGCATTGTTGGCTAATTGCTCTGCACTGTTTTACTGCAGCTTCCTTGGGAATCAGTGTTGGGGAACAGCTGCTGCTGCTGCTGCTGCTAAGTCGCTTCAGTCGTATCTGACTCTGT